GCACGCTCAGAGAGAGAGAGAGAGAGAGAGAGAAAGAGAGAGAGAGAGAGAGAGAGAGAGAGAGAGAGAGAGAGACTACCTGGTGAGAGAGAGACTACCCACGGAACCGGCGGACCCCCATCCCCCCACGCGGGCCCACGGTCCCACGGTCTCCCACCCACCAGATACCCCCACGGGCCCCACCCCAAAAAAAACGAACCCTCAAGGGGCGCATTTTTTATTTTTATTTTTTCTGTGTTGCTTACCTTCCCCCCTACGCACCTGCATCAACGAAACGCAGTCCGGTGGACGCAATAATTTTCCCAGCCCACCCTGCTAGACCCATGTTTAGGACCCCCCGGTTTTTTATTTTTTTGTCGGTCTTTCACTTCGAGGGCGTGCGGCGCCCCACCCCCACCCGAAACCCGCTCTCCTCTCCCAAAACCCCCTCCCATTTTGGCCGCGGCCGAGGCCGAAAAAACGCGGCCAGAGCGGCCGCGGCCGGGGGGGTTTTGGCCGAGGCCGCCGGCCGCAGCCATGGCCGAGCTCGGCCACGGCCAAGGGTAAACATAGGTGGACACCCCGACGACGCCAGTCCATCAAACCGGTGATACGTGCATGGGGGACCACAACGTCACACACACTGTCACAAAGAACTTTGGAAAAGAAGCATTTCAAACGATATAACAAAGGGGGGGAAAAAACCAAAAAAAAAAAAAAGAAAGATTGAAAACGAACAAGGGAACAGGGCGGCGGATGCACCATGAAATGAACCCAGGGGGTTCGTTTCATGGTGCATCCGTCAACCTGTTTCCTTGTTCGTTTTCAATTTTTTTTAATTTTTTTTTTCTTTGTTATATCGATTTTTTTATTTTTTTAATTTTTTTTAAGGGCCCAGTGCCCAAGGCTGATATTATCAACAAGGAATGTTTTGAGGCCGGGGTCCTCACAGTCTACCCGGAGTAGCTGAAACCGAAAGTTGCTGAGAACCGGGCGCAGCGTCCCTCATGTGTTGATGAAAATGATCATGATACTACTGGTAATGATTATAAATTTATGAAAGACTATGTCAGCTATTCTAGACTCCTGAACCTAAGATAACTCCTAGCCATCCTTGCACCGGGGTATACTCACTCAAGAACAGTACCAACCAGACCAACGTCACTCATAGCTGATCTCTTCTCGCCACTAAGTAGCCCCCCCCAGTTCACCACTGAATTGCCTTCCTCCCTCGGCAAAACCCAGATCTCTCTACAAGACCTCATACTCCTGCAAATTGCAGGTTACAGGGCAACGCCCCAGCTCCGGCCAGCGTCGTTCTGGCATCGGCAAAACAGGGGCACAGAACAGAACAGCTCTGTGGATGTCGATCCGAGTGTGACCCTCTTTGAACTCCTATACCCCGGATATAAGTAAAAACTAAGGGTTACCTTTTTTTTTTTTTTTTTTT